CTCCCTGGGCTGCAGGGGCACAGCCTGCCCCACCATGGGCTGCACCAGGGGCTGTGGGGAATCTGCTCCGGTGCCTGGAGCTCCTCCTGCCGCACCGACCTGGGTGGCTGCAGGGCTGCTCCTCTCACGTATCCTCACTCCTCTCTCTGGCTGCTGTCCCACAGAAGGTGTTTTTCCTTCTTAAATATGTTATCCCAGAGGCACTACCACTGTTGCTGATGGGTTTGGCCTTGGCCAGCGGTGGAAATGGGGAAAGCTTCCAGCAGCTTCTCACAGAAGCCACCCCTGTAGCTCCCCCACTACACAACTTTGACATTGGTTGACCCTGCAGATGAGAGGGTCAGGCAGCTCCCACCATGTCATGTCCATGCCAGCGTGCAACAGTGATCCCTGACGGAATAGTCCCTGCCGAGCCAGTCTGTCCCCAGCCTTGCCTTCCCGGGTCCCTGTCCCAGCGCCAGGCTGCAGAGCCATCTGGCAGCAGGTCCCCTTGCACTCTGCTTTATTTTGTGCACATCTGGTGGCTTTCAGAGTGATGTGACAAAGCAGAGTGGGTGCCACCTCCCAAGTTCCCTGCGAGCCGGGGTGAAGCCATTGCCCCTGGGCACATGAAAAGCTGCCTGGAGAATGGAGAGGTGGAATGCAAAGCCCAGAACCCGCTGTCTCCCAATTACCAGCTGAGCAATCAAAGCAACACATGCCCTACAAATATCACCCAATTCATTGGCAGCAGGATGAGTATGGGCAAGCAGAGCCTGGAAGGAGCCAGACCGCTTCCCTCATCACAGCCTGGACACCCAGAGCACGGCCACTGCTCTGTGGCTGGTGTCCCCAAGTGACATCCCACCGGGCTGGAGGTACACATGGTGCCACTGACCCAGGAGAGCTCCGAGCATCCTGCTGCAGGAAGATACAGCCTCTTCCAGCAGTGCAGCAGGCTCTTATCACCCACCCGCAGCTGGGCAAAGGGAGGGGAGCTGTGGCAGACCTTGTGGTGCAAACAGGATGGGGGCACTGCAGGAATGTCAGCAGGGAACTCCCAAATTCAAGAGTTAGATGAGGTTACATGCCCGCCGGCAGCTTCAGGAGGCGGTCGCCAAGAGGAAAGGAGACAGAAGGTCCAGTGGTGTGGTCGCCCCCAGAGGAGTGAAGGTGCTGGACACCCAGCTGTGCTCTCCAGGCCATCCAGCCCCTCCGGACCTGGACCTGCTCACTCAGACAAGCTGGAAATGCTGTGCAAGCCCAGTCCAGCCGTGAGCTCATGAGGGTGTCAGGGGAGTGGAGAGCAGACTGAAGGCCTTCAGACCCATCCAAAATTTCCTTTCCTGGTGTCAGCCTGCAGGTGAGTGCTGGCTGTCTAAAAAGCACCTGAATGTTGTGAGTTTTCCATCATTCCTTCTGCTTCTTTAGCATCTTCAGGTGGTCTTGGAGTTTTGCATTTTCCACTTTCAACAGGGAATCCTGCCTCCCCTCCTGTTGATTTTCTGCAGACTTGCTGGTACCCAGGATGGAGAGAGAAGAGAGGGAGACCCTGGCCAATGAGGTGGAGGAGATGAGTGGAAGAGGTGAGTTTTTAGAAGGGAAGAGCAGGGGGAACTGTCTCCTGTTGAGGAGAAAAATGCATCCTGCTTCTGCTGTGGAAGAGCTATTTAGGGTCAAAGCACCTGGGGCTTGTCCCAGCCTTGTTGTGGGGTTGAGACTTGGTGGCTGCAACACCCCCAGCTGAATTCCTTGTGCTGTAGACCCACCACCACCACCAAAGACACCTGAGCTGCCATGCTTGGCTCCCACCAGTGCCCCCAGAAGGAAAAAGGAACCTGGGGTCTTGGGTCAATGCCTATCATGCTGGTTTGTGCCCAGACGTGCCTGCTTCACTCTCGCAGCATTGGAGGCACCCAGGCTGAGGTGCAGGTGTCTGCAAGGCAGATTTGCACCCATCCACGCAGGTGCATCCTCCTCCCGGAACCTGGGGGTCTTTTCGGCCAGGATGGCATGGAAACTCCTGGATCAGGAGCAGGGGTGGGATCAGGGCAGCACTGAGACTGGGGCCGTCCAGCACAAGGGGGTTTCCCACCCCACGCTGGACATCTCTGGGCAGGGGAAAGGAAATCACCCTGTCTCTTCTCTTGCTGGGGTGGATGCAGCCCCAACGTGCCCCTGGGGCTGCCTGTCCTGAGCAGCTTCTCCTCCTCTGTCCCCAGCTGATGTGACCCTGGACCCAGACACCGCCAACCCCTTCCTCATCCTGGCTGATGACCAGAAAGGCGTGGGACGAGGGGACAAGTGGACCTCGCTGCCCAACAACCCTGAGCGGTTCGACACGGAGCCGTGCGTGCTGGGCAGCCAGGGCTTTGCTGGGGGGAGGCACTGCTGGGAGGTGGAGGTGGCTGAGGGGGGGGACTGGTGGGCTGTGGGGGTGGCCCAGGAGTCTGTCAGGAGGAAGGGAGTCCTCAGTTTTACTCCCCAGGAGGGGATCTGGGCCGTGGGACAGTGGTTTGGACAATACCACGCTTTCACTGACCCCGACTGGACCCCCCTGCACCTTGCCTGCCTCCCCAAGGCCATCCAGGTCTGCCTGGACTTTACAGACGGGCAGGTGGCATTTGCTGATGCTGAAAATGAAGCCCCAATCTTTGCTTTCTGCCTGGCTTCATGTCCCAGGGAGAGGCTACGCCCATGGCTCTGGGTGGGAATGGACTCGTGGCTCAAGCTGAGCCCCTGACATGGAGGGAACGTGGGTAGCAGGGGGAAGGCTGGAAAGGTGAACACCATCATCTTGGGTCTTGGTGCTGGGAACTGGGAGGGTCCTGCATCCTGCCAGCGTCTCCTCGCATGGTTCCTCTGGCCACCAAGTGGACATCTCCAGGACTGGCAGGTCCTGGAGATGGACTCTGCCAAAGAGCCTCCATCATCCCCTCCACCCCACAGCTGGGACTGCAGAGACAAAGGGGGGGGCACAGAGACTGGGTGCATGGAGGAGCTTGGTGCCAGGTGGCCCCGGAGCAGAGAAGCAGCATCGAGTGCCAGGGCACTGCAGAGCTGCTCTGTACAAGGCCATGAAAAATACAGCAGGTTCAAACTCCTTAAAAGGTGCTGGAGTAGCGTCTCTGGCTTATTTTTTTCAATTAAGCTTAATGATTAAGTTAAAAAAACCCAACCAAACACAGATGGCTGCAGGAGCTATGATAACACTTATCTTCCCCATACATTCAAAGCCTCTCCGTGCCTTATTTCCAATCCTCACTGACATGTGCATTAAGCACATTTCTTACAGCAGGGCACTAGTAAAAGCTATAGGGACAGCCAAGGAAGGTAAGCAAGAAATCGAGAAGTGTCTGAAGTCCACAGGCGAGCCAGTTCCCACAGATCTGACTCCTCTGATCTCCCCCCATCAAAGCCTCCTTTTCCTCACACAGAATAGACTGGTTCAGGTGGAAGGGACCTCCAGCGATCACCTAGTCCAGCTGCCTGACCACTTCAGGGCTGACCACAAGTTAAAACTTGTTATTAAGGGTATTGTCCAAACGATTCTCAAAGATCGATGGGCTTGGGGCATCGAAAACCTCTCCAGGAAGCCCGTTCCAGGGCTTGACCACCCCCTCAGTAAAAAAATACTTCTTTATGTCAAGTCTGAACCTCACCTGGCCCAGCTTTGAACCATTACCCAGGGCTCCTGTCCCTGGATCCCAGGGAGAAGGGATCAGCACCTCCCTCTCCATGTCCCCTCCTTGGGAAGCTGCAAAGAGCACCCAGGTCGCCCCTCAGCCTCCTTCTCCCCAGATGAGACAAAACCCAGAGCCCTCAGCCCCTCCCCAGAGGACGTGCCTTCCAGCCGTAGATCTGCTCCAGAGAACTGGCATTTTGGGGAAATGATGCTCAAAGGACATGCTAGGCCTGGAAAATGTGGGGGAGTCCCTGCTCCCAGGGACGTTGCTTTGTCCTCTCCTGCTAACTCCTGCTAGTAGGAGAAAAGGTGAACGTAGGTGAAGGGAAACGTTGCCTGGGTCCAGCCCAGATTTCATCTTCTCCAGCCACATTGCTGGTTGGATCCTCTTAGTACCAACTCAGTTGTCATTCTTGTGGTGGCAGCTGGGCACAGGTAGCAGCATTAAGTCTCCCTGATCTACTCCAGTAGCTGGAAAGAGTTCTACCACTGGGTCAGGCACAGATATCCAGTCCTGGCACTAGGGGATGGGCTCACCAACCTCTCTGGCACTGTCTGGGTGACATCCCATTGGACACTCGTGGGACCAGCAATCAGCAAAGCAACCCAGGGGACTGTCCAAGGAGCCAACCCCAAAACTCATGCTCCTGAGAGAGAACAAAAGAGGGGCAAATCCTGGTCCAAGTGGCTGCCCATACCTTGCTGCCAGCGCGTCCTCAGCTTCTGGTGCCAAAGGGGACATTGTGCCCATGCAGGAGGAGGCAGAACTTACCCCCACCAGGGCCATGGCTCTGCATTTCCTTGAGCACACTGGGAGGAAGGCGAGATCCCACAGCCAGAGCGTGAAGGCAGCTGGGTTAGGGTCTGGGAAGAGCTGGAATCACATCCAGAAGGGCACCATGGGCTTCTGGCCACAGAGCAAGAAGAGGTGGGCTTCACCCTTGAGCAAGCTATGACTTTCACAGATGCTTTTTCACAAACGCCCCCTGCTTGTATTAAGCATCCTAGGAAGAGTTTGTGTTTGTAGCATTTTTTTCTCTTCGCCGTTCTTTGAATCCCTCCCCCCTGCTCCAGCCCCCAACCTCCCTTTCACAGCTCAGCTTTTTCAGCAGAATGGACCTGAGGTGTCAGCAAGGTCTTGTGGGATGGGACTTAATTTCACATTTGTTTGACCAACATTTGAACTTTTTGGTTGTTTATATAACTTTGGTTATTCATATTTTTCACTTCTACCATGCAATGTCACAAATCCTGGCAGTGCTACGAATCAGCAAGTCCCAAACCAGCAATTCGTACAGCCTCTTCCTAAACTTC